CAACGTGGTTGAGACACCATAGAAACATTCAACTATAATACTAAAAATGTTCGATCTCCTCAGACATAGGCGATAGACACGAACCATTTCTTTTTTATGGGAGGCGTAGTTTACTAAGGTCTACAAGATACACTAAGTCTCCGCTAAAAAGCGCTCGGACACCTGGGAATCTTTCTTTGTTAGATCTATGACAGTTCCATATCAGTTTCGATCTTCAGAACTGTGCCAATAGATCTATTAATGAGAACTGATCTGTCACAACAATTCTTTTAATAGAAAACTGATCTGTGTCATCAGCTTATTCAAAAAGAACTAGTGGCACTAGACATCATTTTAACCCAACCATTAGATCGTGATTGCTGTGTCCCAGACCACGCTTGTGAATTGAGCACCTACGCTGCAATGAAGCTAATGGAAACTTAATGCTAAGATAGGGCTCGATTGTCAAAGAAAAACTACTCATCAGACTCAGTTCTTGAAAAGAGAACTGGTCACGATATACAGTTTTTCAAAAAGAATCTGTTCATAGAATTGAGAGCTGTCATAGATCTACCGGTACTTAAAAAGCCCAAGCTTCGCCGCTGTGTACATCATAATTTTCAAAAATGAAGACTCAAACGCTTTTAAGTCAATTCAACATGTAGTCCATAATATGAATCATACATTTTAGAAATTGATTGTTCGACTTTAAGTTTAAAGTTTTTAACGAACAAGAATCGTCAACATCGCGATAATTCCCAATGATAATATTAAATGAACAAAATGATGACATTGAGACGTGGCGGTAAGTTTTTCAACACATCGCTTACTAACATTAAGACTAGTACACTAATTGGCTCCTACCCATAAGGCAAGACTTCCAAATGTGAACTCGCTTCTTCATCGGATTTATGGTCATTAAATCGATCACAGTCAGCTGACTAATACTGTAACTTCGATTGAATGGGTGAGTCTTTAAAGTTGTGTTAGAAACATTGCTTGAATTACTTCTCGACCTGTCTGAAAAACTTTCCCAACAAAATCGGATATCGTGTGTTCAGTCTTACATTTTGTACATGGATAGATCATATGTTTCCAATTTTTTTATGAAATATGAATTCTTAAAGAACTTAATCTCTCCTTATCGAAACACACATTTTGACGGCAGCTCTTAGGGTATTCTGATAACGATGAGATCTGTCCATTGGAGAGTTTTCAGATTGAAAACATTTCATTTGCTTTTCCGAAAAGCCTTAGAACAGTTGGATAAGAGAGCAAAATAATATTCATAATTCAGCCTCCAAGACTCATATATTCAATCCAATTTAGGACTTTACACTACTCACTATGACCGATACAATGAGCACAGTTGCAGTCAGAAAACTATTTTCCACTCGAGAGACTTACCTTCTCAGCTCAACTTTAATATTACTGTCATTTGCTATTATATAGAAATGAATGATACATCTTTTCTGTATTTTTATTTCAGAAAATGGCTTATTGGATACATTCCTTTGGTGATGGAAACGCTCATTTGTCTACTTTTGTCTGTGGCTGCGATCGTAATCATACTTTCATTAATACCTGTATATCTTAAAACGCATGGTACAGACATTAAGACGAACAGGAATATAGGTTTGTCAATGTTTTCTTTCAACTAAGCAGAACATTATGCTGTTTATTGAGCCATTATTGTGAAAAGTTTAGTGGTAGTGTAAGGGTATAGAACTAATGAGAAACTTAGTTTTCTACTAATAGATATAGTAAAGTAGTCTCTATCAGAGAAGCACATTATGAATCTTTCACGAAAAAAATTGAAATCTAGGCAATTAAAAGTATTAAGCTTGTTTAAAGAGAGTTTTCATTGTTTCAAACCTATTTTCTCATTCTATCGTTCATAAATAGTCAATTATTATAAAAATAAAAGATTACCTTTTATCTGAATTAAGGTAAACATTGTTTTTTATTAATGCTTCAGACAGACAAAGTTTCTTTTTTTAGGAAATTGAATATTATTCATCATTCGAATTTTCCAGTTTTCTATAAAGTTTTGACAACGATCAAACCGAAATTAACCAATATCATCAGTCTATCCCTCTCGGCGCTTATATCTAAACCACAAAGCTCGACGGAAAAAATGATAGATGAAAAATAATGTATATTGTCAATTGAACCAAATTTTAAGTATATAAAAGTCTTCGCAGTTTTCTTCATTGAAGTTATAACTAATAGACAAAGGTTATGCTTATTTTGTTGCGCTTGACAATCTATATCTTTCGACAGTAATAGAAACATTCTTGCACTAATGTCTGTCTTTCAAACGCATAATTTCTTTTTTTTTTAACATAGGCAAAAATCAGTTTGTTGGAGTAGCAATATTAAAACACTTGTTAAGATCTACTTACGTTCATCAAAACTTCATCTATGCAGCTAAGTTTTCTTGATATTTTAAAGAAACATAAGGAACAAGTCCGGCAGAAGTCTCAGGCGTCGAACATCTGCCTTTATTAGGATGTAACAAGTAACGTTTGTTTAGCTTGCTCTATTCTTCGCGCAGCTAACGTAAATCATGTGTCTACTGAAAAAAGTTGATTCTAACGGGTTTCACTCTACATTACTTCAACGGGTGCATTTTATTATTTATTCAGGCTCACTCTATCATTTCATTAAATTAGTTCAAAGCTGGAAAAAGCAAAACCATTTTCTGAAAATAAGAATGTCAATTAGTCAAGATAATGATACATATTACTATTTCCCCTTTTTTTTCTTCTCTAACTTTAGAAAAATCCGTTTTTCTAACAGTTTGCGGAGAATTTCATAGCTAACTTGGCGATAAGCAACTAAATTTTAATTAATGAAAATTCAGCAAGGCACCAATAAGATATAAAAACCCTAATTCATTCTGATCCATCTATAAGAGTTTAATTTACTATTAAAAGAATGAAAAAGTGCTAGGAAATTTTGATAAAACTAATAGTCAGTAACAAATCATATCAAACTTGGTTTGCAATGTTTTATATGACTCGATTATCAAAAATACAATTTCTTTGTGTTTTTATTGTTAACATTCAAAACATCTCTCTAGCTATAATAGAACTTGTTACCCGAAACCAGTGGCACCGTCAAGATTTCTCGACGCGAACAAGGCTCTGTAAATCCTACTGAGAAATGGATACTCAAGAACTTTTGAAAATCTGATTGAGTTATCATTTTTTTCATGGATCACTCCGTTTTTATGAGGATAACTAATTGTGAATCTAATATGTATATAATGAACAAATGATTAGGTGAAAACATTACACCTGTGTCCATTACGTCGACGGTATCATTGTTTGTTCGAAGATGGGTATTCATTGTATATGGAAAACCCGTCTAGATAAGACAAATTTTTGCTAAAAGAAGTAGTTCATTACTGAAAATTTTGGAAAAAACGAACAAGCATATAAGTCTGTTTTGCTTAACTTTCCGAATTTAACAAGACTCTAGTAAGCAAGTAAAAGAAATAGTTGACTCTGTTCTTTAACGTCGTGCAAGCACAGACTAACGGAAACATTTCTTTCCATTTAACAAGTAACATTCATCTCTCGATTCGCTTGTCTTTTTTGAAAGAATGAATCCAGTATCTACGATAAAAATCTGATAAGAGCCATGCCGAATTGATCGTTCTTTGATGGATTGTGTTCCATCAGAAAATATGACAATTATCAAATTCTATTTTGTCAGTAGTAGATTTAGATTTGACGAAAAGATAACAGTTCTAAATCTGTTTGAATAAACATTCAATCACAATATTTTAGTTCAGACTACTTGAAGTGCGAATTCTGATAAGAAATGCACTTTCCGAGAAAGGCTTAAGTAAAGTTTTTTGTGATAGAAATTATATCCACACGTTTTGAAACTTAAATGTTCTCTCCATTGAATTTTCTCGGGTAAATTCTTGTTTATCGCGTGTTTAGCTATTGGTGTCATTTCACGGACACAAAAAAAAATCCTAAGATAATGTTCATGTTAGTGTAGCGATCTTTTTTTTCGAAAAATATTTTCGTTGATGTACATTAAACTGCTGTCTTGGCAATATTTGAGAGAGTCTGTCCAATCTGACGCTTTTGGTTGAGTAAGTTCGACCGTAGATCACGTGATAGGGCTCATATATATAAGAATTTGCCAATTTTGCTATCTTATATGCCCTGCTCTATTTTTTCAATTGTACATTTTCAAATTTTGTGTTTTAAACGAAAAGTTAAAAAGCATAAGAAACTAACCAATATATGGAATTAACATTGGTAATATTAAGATGTACTACGTAGTTTCTAGATCATCAATTGATGAAAGTTCTCATATTGATAGCTTTTGGATTGCTAAGTAGTCATCGAGTAACTTTCGAGAATCAGAAGAATACAGTGCTGATGATCAACAAAAGAATTTAGAAAAATGTCGCTCCTATATATCGAAGAGCTTGATCCAAGTTGTCAAAATAACATATTTCTTTTTCACAATAGAATGCAAAAACTATTCTTACGATTTTCAAAATCAAAATTAAGAATTGAACAATATAGACCAGTGATGAATCCAATTTTTCTTGACTTATTCTGTTTAATGTTGAATATTGTAGATTACTAGCATCCTAAGAAACTAAGCAATAAAACACCATCAGAGTCAACTTCAGGTGTAAATGTCGTAGGTACTCATAAATAGATAGCGTGAAACCCTTTAAGTCAACAAAATTCTGGTAAAAAAGCATCGTCTTATAGAGACGACTTTTTTTGGAATGTATCTAGAATGATAACGATAGAAATGAGATTGAAAGTATCTTCATTTTATTGAATGTTATTTCGACTGCACAAATCTATTTTTTGGTACATCGACTATCTTTGATCAACTTTTCCATATGATGACTCATCTTTTTTGAAAAAATATCAAGAGAAATGATTGTCTACTTTGATCATTCATTTCATATTGTAGAATCTGATGATATAACGTTAACTTTCTTCACAACTTGGATACTAAGTAGTAACCAGAGTATGATAGTAATCAATACTGATGCGATAACTCGACAAGTAATTGTATTTCCATTATTTATCATGTATGTCTTAATTAATTATTTTGAACGAAATTCTAGTTTGAAGCAGCCTATAGTCTCCAACCATACTCGATACATATCATTAAAATTGTGATCTATAGTGGTATAGTAAGTGCTAATGGTCATCGTCAACTTTACAGGAAAAAACGTGAATTGTATATTTACATTTTGCATGTGTTTTTAATAATGCATCCTTTCTCAACATTTGTATAACTCTGTTTCAGATCTGAGTGTGATCAGTTGGGATCTGTTGGCTCAATTGTGGAAATAACATTTAGAATAGTCTATCCAAGAAGGTGTGGTATATCTATATCTTGTAAACAAAAATATATCGATGATAGTAAAACTCGTTTTAATACACATATTACAAGTATTGTACTGAAACTGGAATTCGCTGATGGACTCTTCGTTGAACTTACATTAATCATTTGCAAGAAAACGACGGATATATTACCATTTCCATCGTTTGATACTTCAAGCACTAAAACAGAAGGTAACAAGTATTATGTTAGATAGGTTTTTCAATGCTTTGATACATATATTTTCGTTTTACAATTTTGAGAACTTAAATTAGTAGTAAAAATTTAAAAGATTGTGTGTTCTAAAATATTTTTCTGAGATAATACTCAAATCTACAATTTGATCCACAAATTAAGCCTCATATTTAATGAATATTGAATGCCTCAAATGCTGCGAATTTTGGAGGTTAGAAAGTCGAATATGCATATATTACAACGTAATAGACACATTCTGATAGTAAGCCATGTAGTATCAATAGCCATCTATGAAATATTATGAGATGTTACTCTCGACTTGTTAGCATTACGATAACCTTCATCGATCGTGGATCGTGGTCAAACGGTTTTCGTACATGTCTCTTGTTGCATTGAAGTCGAATGTAAATAATAAAAATATTCATTGAGTAAAAAATCGTCATTCATGATTTGAACAATTTTTTTGGTGAGAGCTTTTCACTAACGAATCCTTTATGCGATAAATTATCAGTTATAGGTTCAGTACTACCTATGCTCTCGGTGGCAATATGATTTATTTCTATTATTATTCTGCTAAAGTTGAATTATATTATAAAAGTTTCAACACAAAAGACGTTCAATACTTTCTTTTGCATCAAACAGAAGGTTTCGGATGAAACTTATTCAACAACAAGCACTACCAATAAAGTGCTACTAAAGTCGTTGATCTATATGCCACAGTTAGAACGAGTAGGATTTTCCATACTGTTATCCTAACCACTATAAACGGTCAGACCAGACCGAATCGATCAGTATATCAACATGGGTTATTCTTTCGACTCTATAACAGTTCAGTCAACTCCTTGATTAGTCACGTCTATGTCTTAACAACTAAAGTAATAATACAACAGTTCCTTTTTAGTGCTTTTTAATTTTTCTGTAATTTGTTTTGTTTCTTGGTATCTATTGAAGAACAGAAAACTTCATTGGACTACAATTCTATATTAGCTGTCAACATTCACTATCTACTTGTCTGACATGGATTTTATTAATTAATTGTAACGCTTAATCCATTTCCACGTTATAGTGCCTTTGTTATCTATTATGTCTGTGGGAAATATGCCCCATAAACAGTATGAGAAATATAAGTAAAATTGCGATAAACTAAAAATACGAAACAATTATTCAATTTTGTTTTGATATCAGTTTATATGAAAATGAGTTAGTAAAATCTGATAAGTATATTATAATGACATTTGGCTAAAATGAATGAACTAGTACAGGTTTCCTTACAGAAGCAGTCTTCAAAATCAGTAAAAAGTGTTTGATTTGAGGTGAAAATAAATATTTTTATGCTCAAATTCGTGAAAAAAAAGCATGCAGCAACTAAAAAAAAGTATATCGGACTGATCATTTAGCGTTACTTGTTACAAATCTTTCGTACGGTGCTCGTTTGAATGCTTCCGAGAAAACTATCTGATAGTTGATTTGTCGCTTCGGTTGTGCACACTAAAACCTGGATAATGAGGATGATCTATAGACTTGGTAGTGTTTATTCAAGATAATGAAAGTTAGAGTAGAAAGACTACCTAAGCAGCAATGTGTGCTAATTAAATACAGATTTGCATCCATCTGTTATTGTTCTAGTGATCTCCGAAGTTTTTTTGAATATGGTATGCTTTCACTTTTAAGCAGAGCAAATATGCATTAAGTCTAGTTAAAGTAATATAATTCGGCGAATGAGTTCCCTAGCCTTTGTTTTGATCTTCCTCGACGAAATTCTGGAAAAATCAGTGAGGATCTTGCCAAGTTTCGATCTGAATTTTGTTTACAATTTTTCAGAATCATGCTTAGGACTTATTTTTAGAAATTTAGTTCTGTATTTGAATAGTAATGATCTTCTGACGTATAGATACTTGTCTTCGAAAATTTTCTTTACCATTAGTCTATATCTATTTGAAATTGCCTATATTGCCATTTCTTTCTTTAAATTCACCGGCATTTCTTCTTCTCTATATAGTATGTTATTTTGATTCTGTGAAATATTACTTTATGTCATTACATTTAAATATACACTATTGACCAAAAGTATCACATCATCGAATCTCAGTTCCTATGAGAGCCAAATGTTTGAAAATTAGTCGATGATCACTATGAATGTTGTAACTCAAGAACACATGAACATTTTGTGTTGTGTAGTCTATCATTTTGTAACTCTGCATTATAGCTATTTCTGATATAAATTTAATCGAAATTCATCAAGCTGTTGATGAACTAGACCATTTTTACTGAAAATATGCACATGAAAAAAAAACAACATAGAGTACTATTGAATGATCAATAAACTCAGCAATAGTTTGATGGGTCAATCTGAAATTTTTATAAGATGTTTCAGCATAGTTGGTCATTGTTTTCTAAGAGTTTCAGAGGCAAACATCTTATTAAATGAAAATAGTGCATCGATAATCAACATGAACTTGTTAAGACTCTGAAGTCTCTATCGCTCAAATAGAAGAAATCAACTGTTGAGTAATGAAGAATTATGAGTTGGTCTAAAATTTTGTTCTGAAAGATCAATAACTATTCACATATTACTTTAAAAATAAACTATATATCAGTAAATCTAGTTTTTTGTTATTTTTCTGCTAAATGCAGTATTTGTCTTCATTTTTTAAGATTTTGCTTAGAAAATCGATTTTGATGGCTTTAGGATTCTATAGAATGAAAGAAATCGTTTTGTTCTAGACATCTAAAGTGGTTCTCTGCTCGAACTTTATAGTGATTAATAGTATATAAGAATCCAGTTTGTATTATGCTACAGAAAGATTCTGATTTTAAGACTTTAGAGGATATTTACTAGGAATAATCACGCTTTAAGTTATCTGATGGAATTTTGAATATAATTCTCAACAACTTTAGTTCTAATACTGTGTGTTTCGACGAAGGCAGCTAGGCTTTATTTTTTCCTAAGAACTTTGAACTGTTCGAAACAGTTTCTTTCCATCCGACCAGTAGACTCTTCCTTTTGTTTTTTCTTTTCTCACGTACTAATACGATCAGACCAGCAGGAAATAGAACAGATCGACCATTACGTTTGCATGAGTCATTCTTCAGTTTCCTCATTCTATCAAAGTCGAATGAAAAGCTCAATTAGCTACATCTGTGTCTTAATCACTATAGAAATGACATAAGAATTTTATTTTTAACAATCTTGCATCTTTAACTATATATTTCGAAAAATTTTCGTTGTCTTGTCGTCTATCGGTCGGCAGAGAACATTAAAGGACTACGGATTCCATATCAAAGCTACTTCATGTGAATCACGACCTACAGCCAGCGAGCAATGCTCAATCACAATGTTAGATTTGTACAAAAATTACTCCGTGTCATTGACCATGCTGTTCTAGGCACAGTTTCAAATTTTTATCCTGATCACGGATTTCTCTATCAAGATATTAGAGTATTTCGAGAAATTTTGTTTTAATGAATCCATCTCGGATGTAGCTGTGAGTGTGAGTAAGTGAGAATGTCTGGTTGTGAATATGAGTATGGATGTTGAGTGAGAGTGTGTATATATGAGTGTTTTCTGTCACCATATCAAATATTTGCACTCATACTAAGACCCGACCTTTAAAAATAAACTTGCGCTGTGTTTTGTATTCCAAGTAGCAACACTATAAAAGCAATCGCTACTGTTCTGTATGCATTATGACAGAAATATCCTTTCAAACTTGTATCATGCAAAAATTATTTTTGAGGATTCTATCGCTATCCTAAATACGAGTAAATTATTCTGCAGTCTTAGAGTTCTGATTTGTGATTTATTTTAACAGAAATAACTACTATAATAACAACAACAACAACAACAACGACGACAACCACAACGACAACAACGACAACAACAACAACAACAACAACTACTACTACCCGTAAGTAATAGGTTAAATAGATAAATACTGTTTTCTATAGCGACCTAATGAAAAAATTTTACATATTTGAAAGTTGCTAAACTTCGCATATGTAAATATCGTTGAAATACGTTGAAGTTGCAGTTTAGATACTTCAAAAAATGAAGAAACGTCATATCAGGAAACGAACCTCATGTAATCATGAGCAGCCGAGAGAAAATGGAGTAGTTGTAGTTTCTGGTTCTTTTTCACACATTTTCACTGATTTTTTTGTTTTTTAAAGTTTAAACGGTTATCATAATTGAACGGACACTCTTTTTCTGCTAAGACATTATGTAGATTTTGGACTAATAAATTAGATGGGTATTTTATAAGTAAACTAACATTCATTTGAAAAAATTGATAAACAAAATTCAAAAGCTTTCAGCAGTCATCACTATTCTTTGATGAAATTGTTGACTCTGTAGATAAGTCTCCAACTACTAATGTCCATTTCAAAAATACGAAGGTATTTAGATCTTTCATTGTTGGTTTTAATGCACTCCTAAAAACTACAAATTCATCCTAGTGATTGGATACGACACAGAAGTTTCAAATAAGCCCGATTGAAAACTCTCAAAGAATTTATCAGAATAATCTGTAATATACTATTCGATACATCTTGAGTTTCTCTTTCCATTGGTGAAAACTACAGGTCTCGATGGTATCTCTATCAAAACTTATTCAAAAAATACTCACGGCTTCTCTTTTTTGAAAATGGATAGTAGTATCGAGAAACTCGAAGTGATCATACTCTAGAATAAATAGGGGCTGATTAAAATTCTGAATATTCAAAATGGATCGAACGAGTTCGTAAAATCGACTGTGAAACTGTGGATGAAATCTCTTCAATCAAAATAAAAAGCTGCTTTTCTTTATATAAAACTCCTGTTGTTACATAACAGTAGAAAATAGGCGAGCAATATATATTTGGATAATTCGTACAAGTTTCTATCATTTTACAAACAAATAGCTCTTGAGAAAGTAAAATGTTTTCAGTTTATAAATTCACCTTGTGAATGATTTCTTGTCTTTGGATTTGCTAATATGTGCTAACATCTAAAAACGTAAGCGGTCAATTTTTAAAAATCAATATTGATCATGTTGTCGGATTCTTCAGCTGTTCTATCGAATCAGAGCAAACTGACTGCTGTGTCACGTCGAAGAACCGTTCAAAAATTTATATTTACATAGATTTTTGTTTTTCTTTATATATGGCTACTAAACATGTGCCCATAATCTATGACTACAGACTTAATAACTTTCTAGATACTGCTCACTGGAGAGTAATCTACGATGTTTTTGAAGCTACACCAAACTACTACCTAGCAACATGAAAAACTTGACTGATTGCAGACTTCAAGATACTAGTTACTATTATGAATCGATTACAGGATATCTTTTGAATCCAAGAACATGATCGACATATTGATTTAGAAAGTAGGCGATTCGCTTTCCTGGATGCCACCATATTTCCTCAAAGTCGATTGCATAGAAGTGATCACTAGTATGAACTATAAAAATCAGAAAAATTCATACAATGAAGGAATTTAGAATCGTTACAAACAATATAGTGACTTTCGTGCAAAAATCACAGCATTTATTTCGAGTTTTCGATAGAATATACGTATCATCTTTGAGAAGTTACTAAAGAAAACTCTCCAGTCGACTCTTCTCACACGTTGTTGGTACTAGTTGGCAAATCAGCGAGATCTATAATCAAAGAAAATGCGAAATCTAACAAAGTCCTTAGAAGACACATTAATTCGCGAGAATTCATATTCGCAGAACTTGTAGATACTTACCAAATGTTGATCGGGCACGACAATGCTCGTTCAAAGAATTTTAGCTTAAGTTTTACACCATTGAAACAATTTTCATAAGTTCTTGTGTAGACAAACTTCTTACAGCCACTTGTCTAAGTCAAGTACTTTCTGGAGTTAGCGTTTCGTAGACCTTTGTAAATCCAATGTATGATTTTTAAGATATAATAACATGTAGAATTTCATAGACCAATCATTTTTCTTATGTCATTTTGATGGTTTTCATTCTACCTAGCTTGTCTTTACTAGTTTTGTAAGGTAGCTTTTATGGTAATTTGAACAGTAAATCTTATAAACTGATTCCTTAGTTTTTCTCTGTTCTCATCGAACTCTTTTGGAAGGGCAATAAATAGATTTTTTGGTGTTAGTGGTTTTGAATAATTAAGAATGGTAATAGTTTTGACAGATTCATTTGATTCTAGTTACTAACACGGTCGGTTCTTCATCAGAGTATGCTAGACTGAACGTTATTTTCGTTTTTTTCTGGTATGTGTTGTGTTGCTTGTTTCTGACTGAGCATCTTTTTGAAAATTACCTCTGCTTCACGTATTTCTCTTCTAATTATATATTGTCGATATCCGTTCAGGGTCAACATCTTTCTCATAAGGTACAATACATGATATTGGTGTGCATTTGAATGCAGAGCAGACTCACACTCATACCTGCCATGGGACTCATAAAGCCATATTTCAAGGAAAGAAAATATAATCTTCGAGAACTTTGAGCTATACTACTATTCGAGCTAACAAATGACTGAATTCGAATTGAAAACATTTTGAAATCAATTTCAACTGAAAATATCTTGGTTTGAAGTTATTTTGAGGTATAGATGATCTAAAATAAAAAAAGAAAATGTAAAAGTCCTTTATTTCTGAAAAGGTAAAAAACATTCAAAGAATGTGAAAACTCCATTTTATCCTGGCTTTGACACATCTACCACAGTATCTATGTTTGAAGAAAAAAAAATCATCAATATTTCAGTCATTTTCCACGAGCTGGTGGTTCACTTTTCCCAGGTATTAATATTACTCATTAAAAATCGTGCTAAAGAAAGGATTGAATAGTTCAATTAATAGAAAAATCCAAAATAGGAAAAATGGAACAATTTCATAAGACTATGGAAAAGAATGGTTGAAAGAACAAACTACAGATTCACCCAGAAAAGCATAAGTAGATAGACATCTTTTTAAAATTAACTTGTTAGACTAGAGACATTTTAGTTTTGCGAATAAGAGTAAAACAATTACAAAAATCGAGACAAAAAATAAAATAATGATTGATATTCAATAGACAGTTATTTAATAAATGTGTTTCCGATAGAAACTGACAAAATGAATTATTTACCGTTCTATAAACTCTAGAAACACTCTGGAGAAAGTGTGAAAGTAATAATCATTTAGATATTTATTCTAGAATAAAAATTTTTCGGTACAAAAATATATGCTATCTTTTATTGATCTGCGGAGTAGGGATGAATCCAAGTTTCTCGCTAAACATTTTGAACACGCATGCCCAATCCTATTCCAAAAAATAGCTGAGAAACAGATCTATTAGTGCACAATGTACTCCGCCCAAAAGAAACCGCTCGTGTCCAGATGGTAGACATCTCTTCTTAGGTACCGATCTTCCTTGCATTTTAGTCTGCTTTTGGTGGCATTCTTAATTATTCCGTTTCTGCTACATTCTGTGAGTCATTTCTCATATCCACATGATATTATTCTTAGACGCAAACTTGTCAGGATTAAATGCTTCCCTTAGTTTTGCTACAGTCGGGGATTGACAAACACAATCAGAAGTTTTAGTACTTCGTGTCCTCTTCAATATGATGTGAATAATTGTTTCGTGAAAACTTCGAGGCTATTACACTATTCTAGAAAGGTATCTTAGATGACATTTTTCTTTCATAAGAAGATGGAAATCATATGTTTACATTCTATCAGAAACTTACTGTTTTTACAAACCGTGAAGAAAGAGAATACCAAAGAAATGCGTCCTTCGACATAGAAACAAACCAAAATGCTCAATAACAGAAACTCATTTATCAAGAATATGTGTTTCCGCTCATGTTCTCTTCAACGAGCTTCATCAACTACATAGTTCATTCAACTTTCTGATGAGATAGACGTACTAGAGGACAAATGCATTTAAATTACAACAGACTGAATCAATATTGATAGATAAAGACAAGAAAGTTCAACAATAAAAAAAAACATTAAAATAAAGAATATATCTTTTCTTTTGTTTACTTTGAGTAACTATAAGCTTGGAGTAATAGAGGTCAGACTGTACATAGATTATTTAGACGTGAGCTTCACAGAGCGGGATGTAGCGCCGTTCATTTGAACTGATAGTTCAATATATTCAAATTGTTTTTTCCAAATTCTAAACCTAGCCTATATGAGACCTTGAAAATAGTAAGGGTTTTCTATATAAAAATTGAAAAGTGTGATAAAATCAATTTATTAGTGTATTACAAGGATAAGGTGTAGTACAGGATATTTTTAATTCAATACAACTTATCATATTTCTTTCTATGTTACCACGACAATAGCTGCAAATTAAACACTTTCATGTACAGTGTTTACTTTCGTTCATCTCACAGTACCACACAATCACTTGAGATTATTTGGAATATTCGAATAGAATCTTTGTCCTGATTGTACAGGCATTATGCCGTCATCTTTTGAAACAGCAACTATGATGTTTTCTTTACAATCATTCATATAGTTGAATCAATGTTTGATTGAAAATATTCAAATATTTTTGAGTCATCCATCAAAAGATTTTTTATTCAAGTTTTACGATACATCAGTACATATCTGAAGAGATTACTTCTTCATTTCATTCATATTTTACATTTTTGTTCAGTGCACTTTGAGCTGTAGCATATTCGTGTAATGTACCTAACACATGAACAGAGTATTTGTAGTGACTATTTAGTTGGCATCCTTTCAGCGAATGTATTTTTAATCCAAACGAATTATTTCAGCCAAGCAAAATATTCGAACAGAATTTTACTTATTAGTTCAATTCATTTCTCAGTACTTCTTTTCTGATGTGATCCACTGGCATGCTTCTCTACGAAGTCAGCGATATACATGAATGAAACCCTGCTTAGAATGCCTCATTTTGCCAAAAGATCTTTCTAGCCTGGCCAAGCCACACATTTCGATTAGAAATGAGTGATATACATGAATGGAACTCTAGTTAGAACGATTCATTTTGGCAAAAGATCTTTCCCCACATGACCAAGTCACATACTTC